GTTGATTTAGTTCCAGAGAAATGAATACTTTGATCAACGCTGACTATCACCTCTTTATCCTCACACTCTGGTGTCTTGTAACGTAACTGTGAGTGCAGCAGGGGTGAGACGCTCCATACTTGTACTAATTATCACCTCTGTGTTTTTTTCCTCACTTTTCATTTGTAATATTATTTAATCAAGATGGGGTCGCATTGTTGGCCGAGGCGTTTCTGTGAGTGTAGATAAAAAGCTGGAGAGATTTCTTGCGTTCAGTGTTAAGGGATCAGTGTGTGAAGGGATGATACCTGAGCTGCTAGAAAAGCACACATCCAGTCAGGTTTTATGAGTGATAAGATGTGAGCAGAAACGAGGAATATGTGTGAGCCTGTGTGAGGGAGTCTGTGAGGTGGCATGTAGGGAAACGAACACAAAGGCTGTGTAAGTATTCATACTCTTTTAACTTTATGCGCTTTATTATCCTACATGCAAAAATAGATTTGTAATTTATAAAAAGTCTTGCATGTGTTTAGGGTCAGTTTATCTTTTGATTGTTTGATTTTCATTTTAGAAACAAGTTCCAGAAAACAACTGGCTGTTTGATTGAAAAAAGAAATACATGTTTCTTTTTTTTTCTGTGTCAAAAAAGGATTAACAACACATTTTTATTTGTTTTGTTTTCTATTTCGACCAACAAAAAATGAATAATAAAGTAGTTTAAAAGGAGCCAGTCTTGTTTATTACCTGAGAGTTTCATTAGAACACTAGATTTGACCTGGTGTCATTTCTGCTTTAGCCCAGAGTCTTTAGAACCCGGATTCAGGTATGATTTCATTTAAAAGATTACAAGAATCACATTTTGCTTTCAGATCATCTTTCTCTTCCTTGTGATAGTTGCACTCTGTCAAATGTGGTGCTCTTATTAGACTTATTAGAGAGAGATTGACTGTTGAATAATTCAAATTCAAAAGCAGCCTGAACTCCCCTCTCCCCCCACATTTTTTTTATTTTGCACCAAAACAAAACACATAAAAAATCGCTATATGTGTTTACTTTTGCTCCATGTTTTCTTGTTTTATTGGTTTAATTGCTATTTTGTTGTATTTTCTGGGTATATTTGAGTTCTAAGGTTTTTATTTGTTGCCCTCTGTTGCTCTCTTTTGTTGGTCTTTTGTTTCCTTAGCTCCTTCCTTTACCGCTCTTTTCACACCTGCTCCTTATCAGCTCGTTAGTCCTGCCTTTGTCAGACAGCCATGAATACGCTCCCTGTGCAGTCCCTCAGTGCTGGTTCCTTGTCTAACATCGTCTTACTTTGTCCTACCTCGTATTACCCTGGCTCCTTGTGATTGTTTTCCCCTGATGTCTCCATGGTTCTAGTTTGTTTTACATTTTCAAGTTTAATTTTTGGATTTGTTGGATTCCTGCCTTTGTTACTGTTACCTGTGTTTATTCCATTAAATCTTCAAGAACCTCACCCCTGCCTCCCTGCCTCTGCATTTGGGTTCAAAACCACAACCAAACCTTGGCATTATCTCCACCTGTGCTGCTCAGCCCCTTCCCTTAATGCTCGTCACCTGCATCCCAGCCTATCTGCCTGCCTTCAGACCAGTTTATGTTGCAAGATTATCGAAAGGCTTTGTGTGTTTAGAGCATTCCTTCTTTGTCTGCCTGCCTAATCATGACTTCTGTTCTGCACACGGGGACAACTTCCTGCGCTCTGGACGCCGACCACATTTCTGCGTCCTGACTTCTGTCTGGTCTTCTAACTTCTGTCTTCCAAAGTTTTAGATGTCTTCTAACTCCCGTTACCTCACTTTGAACGATTAACAGGCTTCTGCAGCACTGATGCCTGCAAAAGAGGTCATGCAATTATTTGAATCAGGCGTGCTGAAGAGACAAATCTAAAACATGCAAGGTAGTAGTGCTTCAGGAGCAGGTTTGAAAACTACTGGTCTGAGGCTGTGGTCCCCAACCCTGGTCCTCAGGGACCTCTGCCCTGCATGTTTAAAAAATGTCTCTGTTCCTGCACACCTGATTCAGATTAGGGCTCCTCCTCTGCAATTCAGAAGCCTGTTAATAATCCATTTATTTCTGGTCTGATGGGACAAGGAAACAGTTAAAACAGGCATCCCCAAAGTCGGTCCTCGAGGGCCGCTGTCCTGCAGGTTTTAGAGGTTTCCTTTCTCCAGCACAGCTGATTTTAATTTAAAGCTCATTATTAGGCTTTTGCTCAACTGCGATAATCATAATCAATTGTACTAAAGCAGGTAAAACCTCTACAACCTGCAGAACAGTTGCCCTCGAGGACCGACTTTGGGGCTGCCTGAGTTAAAACATAGAGAACAGGAGTCTTGATTCCCAGTGCTGTGATTCCTGATCCCTTTGCTGGGGGGTACCTGCTTTTCACTGCCTTTTTTTTTTTCCACAAAACATTTAAACCTGTCCTGGTGAGTCTGACTGAAATTTTAGGTCCTGTGTTTCACAAGTTGTAAGAAAAGACAGTTTTTCGATTTGACTTTGTTGAGGCATCAAAATAAAACGGAGTGATACAAATAGATGCAACACTTTTAAATAGTTTTTGAAAACATACATTTTTGTTCAATATTTTATTATAGGAAAATATAAATTAAATATTATAATTTGTGATTATAGAGAAAAATGAGAAAATGTATTAGACCTTATCTGGAAAGACATTAAATTAGCAATTTTTCTTACACCTTTTCTGTCACTTTGTACTTTCTAAAGGATGTTTTGACACATAAAGTGTTTTGTAGTATAAATAAGTCTGAAACTACTAATCAGCCTAATAAATGAACAATAGAATATTGAAATAATCATCAGTAAAGATGCACTAATCAATCGGCCTTGGTTTTCTTAATTTTGGAAGATCTGCTGATTATTTATCTTAGCAAGGTCTAAAAGTTACCTCCTGCCAATGCTCTAAACTTTGCATTTATATTTGAGAGTTATTGAAGTTTTTCTTGTTTCACGGGTATTATTTAAGTTTTTTCACTAAGGTGAGATTGATATATTGAAGGTGTTTTATAATCTTATAAAAGCTGATTATGTCAGTATTTTAACACAGAGTGAAGTAATAGTTTAGGGGGTCATCAGTCTGTTGCTTTCTTATTTTTGGGGTCACAGGCTAAAATGTTAAGGCAGGCATTTTCTGAAAGGCAATCAACTTCTAGAAACTCTAGGCAAACTCTAGAAATAAGAAATAATTTCTTATTGAAGATAAAGGAAGATCCTCTTATATTATATTATATATATATATATATATATATATATATATATATATATATATATATACTGTAAAAACAATCTAGAAATAAGTAAAAATGTCTTTAAGAAAATTTATTTAACCTTATTTTGAGTAAGTAAATGAGCTAATTTGCCAATGGAATGAGTATTTTTACTCTTAAAATAAGATAAATGGATAACATGCACTTGAAATAAGGCAATGCAATTGTGTTTTCTTATTTCAAATGTAAATTATCTTCTCCTATTGGCAAAATGTCTCTTTTACTTCCTCAATCCAAGAACAAATGCACTTATTTTAAGAAAAAATTACTTCTCTAGATTTTGATTTTTTCCTGTGTATAATCATTTCGTACATGTTTATGCAATTTCAAATTTCATTTAAAATGTAAAATTAAGGTTTATCATCTTATTTCCAAACAGCTTCTTATTTAGAAATGTTAACTATCTCTTTGTTAGATTAATTAATAAAAAAATAATAGATTGATTAATTAATCATAGCCGTCATTACAATAGGCTTTTAAAACATTCCGAAAAATTTCGAAAATGTTTTTAAATATTAATATTTGAGAGATTCAAATTAGCTGTGTTTTTTCTCATGCAATAAGTTTACTGTCATTTTTTTAGTCCTGTAAACTAACTTTTTTTGCCAGGATTCATTATTATACTTCAAAGTAAAGATGTGACTCTCAGCGTTGATGTGATGAGGAACAAAGGAAGGAGAAACATCAAACCAGGCCTTACTCTCTTGGTTATAAAGTGTCACAATTTTTCAGAAAGCTGTGAGCAGAAGGATGCATGGCCCCGGGATGCCTGCAGGCTGTCATCACTCACTTCATAAAACAACCGAAAGTTAACAAGTCCAGAAGCACTATCAGCAAACCATAGTCTGCTGCATAACGGTAGGATTTATCTTACATACGCGCCTATTTATTTTTCATCAACATGTGAACTCCAATTACATGGCCAGTCTGCACATTCAGTCTGATCCCATTTAGCAGTCGGCCGCAGCCACATCTGTAAGTCCTGACAGCTAGGACTGACTGGGACCTCAGAGGGGAAGGTCTGGAAATGCTCTCCCTCAGGTGAGGTCTTGAAATGTACAAGCTTTAGGTAATCAAAAGTGAAAAGCCATTAAATGAGAGATAGAATATCTTAAAATCCACTGTGACTCTCCCTCCACAGCTTTAAGATCGGTACAACACTGCCCCCTGCTGGTGATCATACAGAACAACCATCCATTGGCTTTACAGCCAAATTCCAAAAAAGCTATAAGAAAAAAAAAAACAATGGACTTTGTTTTAGGTTTGAAGATGTTTTGCCTCCCAGGAAGCTTTTCTAATTCAAACTGTCAGAAATAGCATTGAGTTCTGACATTTTGAATTGAAAAAGCTTCCTGGATGGGAAGCAAAGCGTCTTCTAATTTGGAAACAAAGTCCAGTGGATTGTTTTTTAACTTGTTTTGGAATGACTATTAACTGGATTTGACTTTACAGCCAAAGTTTCCCACTTTTCAAAGAGAACTAACAAAAAAAACCAAGAATTTACCAGAACATCATTAAATTGTTTGTATAATACATTTTTTTTTCTGGTTGAGCTATGTTTTTGCACATGAAAGGGTATTTTCTTTGCTGCTGCCCACCATTGGGTGGGAAAAGGAAGCCTATTGGTTTCCCAACAAAAAAATCTTTCCATTAACATCTTGTTGCATATAAAATAAATTTTAAACTCCAGTGTGCAGACAGACTGGATGTACTTACTGAAGTTGTGTGCAATCTTCTGGTTGAGCAATATGTGCTGAGAACTAATGGAGTCAGACGTATCAAATGTTCCCAGATCCTTGACTGCGAACTGATCGTACAAACGCGATGTGTCAATTTCAGGCCCTCTGCTCTTTTCCTGAACCCAAAATGTTTTTGCAATCTGTTGAAACAAAAACATCATCAACAGAAAAGCTACCGGTAATTTATTGGTACTGAGACAGAACATGTGTAAAAAACAACAATGAATAATAAATCTGGCAGAGTAGCAAAACCAAAAAATATTAAATAAAAATGGCAATATTCCAACATTATTTTATTGAAGCTGGTGTTAAAAGTATTCATACAAATATACATATATCTAGGGTAAGAGTAGAAAAGTATTTTTGTGAAAAAATACCAAATCAAATGGACAAGAATATAAAGAGCAAATATGGGTATTTTAAAGAATAAAAAAGAAACAATAATTCAGGCAAAAAGATGCAAAACCAATAAATTAGTTACACTAAACCTTTGAACAAATACTTAACGACTATAAACAGATGTTAGAACAATGGAAAGTAACAAGTGAAGATTGCTGCATGTCTGCCAGGTATAAGGCAATGCTGGAAAGTTAACAACACAATATAATTAACTGTCCTCTTTAGCAGAGGTTTGCAAAGTAGGGGTTGCAATACCTACTTAGAGGGGTGTTTAGATGTTTTTTTTTTTTTTTTTTTTTACAATTATTAGGATGTCAAATTTGAAGTATATATGGAGGGCCAAAATACATCATGAAATACATAAATGTTAATAAAATAAATTACTTTAGTATTTATTTATCTATTATGTACTACACAATTAAGAATGAACAATAAATATACATTATATGTATGAATACATATATGAAGTAATTATATGTATTTAAATGGGGTCTCTAGTTTGTTGCATTTTTATTTTGGGGGATTGCAGGCTGAAGGTTTTGGGAACCCCTGCTTTAGAGGCTCTTAAGACCCCATATTTGTTGATCACAACCCGAATTATGGGAGTCAATGCTCTAAGCCAGGGGTCACCAACATGGTGCCCACAGGCACCAAGGAGCACACAAGGGGTGCCCTTAGGCCCCGTCCACACGAAGTCAAAACGAACACGAAACGCTGATATTTTCCAGAACGTTTGTCGTAAAGACGGAGACGTAAAATAAATGTGATCGTCCACACGAATGCATGAAAACGCTGCAAAATGTATGCCAGGCCTATAAGTGGCGCTGTGGTGCCAAAGCAAAAATAGGCGACGAAATGTTGGGCATGCGCACTAATATTTATACATGGTTGCCCTGCGGGTCCATTTTTGTGGTTCAGTCAAATTCAGGTGCTGAACTATGTTGTCGATATTGCTCTGTTCTTCCTGGAGATATTCCAGAAGAAGAAGATTCTGTTGTAAGCCCGACAGCAGGGTGAGTAGCATGAGCAGCAACCATTCAACACAGTACGGCGCCATTGTTGTTGTGATACTGTGTCGCGCATGCGTGTTTAGAGGCGACGCTATGACGCATGCGTGTAAAAAAAAAAAAATGCGGTTAGAGCTTAAAGATGGAAACGCGAAAACGGCGTTTCAAAATCTTCCCACTCTGAAGGCTGAATAAAAAAAAGGTCGTTTACAGACCCCGAAACGCCGGCTTCGTATGGATGAGAGGCTGGTTTGGTGAAAAATTTGTGCGTTTAGGCCAGGGTTTGACTTCGTGTAGACGGGGCATTAGAGTCTTCTGAAAATAGAACAACTCAACAGTGAGCTACGTTTGTTATTTCACTGTTGTCAACAATGGATGGTGAGGTTGCTCGAGGACCCAGATGCAGAGACGAGTGAAGCAGAGATGAGTTCTGAGAGGTTTAATGGCAGACCAAAGGTAGCAGAGGCAGAAATCTAAAAGTCCAACTTAAAATATTAAACAAACGAAAACCATAGAGACATCAGGGGAAAAAATGAGTCTGAGGAGCCGGGGAGAGACGAGCAGAGTAGACAATACAGCAACAAGACAGGACCAGCAACAACAAGGAACCAACAAAGAGTGAGAGCAGAGGGAGGGCATAAATAGCAGAGAGAGACAAAGGGAGGGCTAACGAGCTGACAAGGAGCAGGTGTGAGAGGAGACAACGAGGAAGCCAAGGGGAAAGGAACACACACACACAAGAGGGCAACAGAGGACAACATGAGAACTAACAAATCTAGAAATTACAACAAAATAGGAATTAAACCAATAAAAACTAGTAAACAAGGAGCAAAGTAAAGCATAACATAACCAAAACCATGACAACTGTATTCTGTTGCTCTTCTTTTTTTAATTGGGTTATAGAACATTTCATCATTTAATCATATATGGCATTTAAGCATTTAGAGAGATTTCAAAATGAAAATGTCTAAAAGAAAATTATAAATTTAAAGAAACCATAAAGATATGTTTATAATGTATGAAGTTTAGGTGAACGTTGACCCTTGCCATTCATAGGTCAGTATTGGTAGCCCTTCCTGTGACTCAGTGCCCCTGAATTAGCCCTCAACTGTAGAAAGGTTGGTAACCGCTGCTCTAAGCAACATACAAATAAGGGGCTTGATGCAATCTGCTAGATTTCCTTTGATGGAAACCTGTGGAAGCTCATTGGTAGAATTCTCTTATGACAGAGCCAAACTGCTCTCTGTTGCTTCTTTCTCCGGAGATAAACAACAGCAACATACGAGATCTCAATACAGTCCCTCTGGACTCAGGCCTATTTTTCAACAACAATAGCCCTTCAGGCTCAGTCGACCTGCAACTCAGAGACATATTCTACGAAACTTAATTCGTCACTAGGGTTAGCTATTCATTAATAGTTGCATCATTCATAATGATACATCACTTATAATCCGTGACCGCTAGTTTCCACCAAATTCTAAAGTTATGGTGCAATCTCGCTTCAGCAGATTACTGTTAATGATTCCATAATCTGAGCCAGGTCTGGACAGCTACATTTATCTCAAGATGCCAATTTATGCTGCAGCACATCCGGTGACAGAAAGGTGAATCGCTTAAATTAATTCAGTGGCCAGTTAGAGCTTTCTGCCTATACTAATTAATAAGTAGGAGGGTAAATTTAACTCACCTCTCCTTTTCCTTAGTTTTCCTTGTTTTCACCCGGGAGGTCCTGATTCAATTCAATCCGGCCAAAATGCACCAATTGTGGAAGCTCATTGGTAGAATTCTCTTATGACAGAAAGAAGGCTGACGATTCACTCCATTGTCTCCGGAGGGGGGAAATATTTATTTACAAAACCGAATTCATACAGCTGTCTTAAACACTTCATACATTCAGCGCTATGTCCTCACATCTGTAGTTTTTTCCCCACCTTCAATCCATTGAGGGCGGCCTTTCATAGGCTCCACAACGCACTGTGTGGATGCACGCGCACGACTGGACGCTCTGAAAAACCTTCTGGAAGTTCTTGTCCTGTGACCCGATTGCATGCGCGTGGGCCTTAAAGACCCTGTTTTGCAAAGACTTGTGACTTCTAGTTCGTAAACATGTTGTTATTGCCAAGATTGGTGCATGACTTCCAACCTGCTTGCTCTGTGTTGCTAAGTGGGCATAAGGTCAGAAACAGGACTACATAATGCAGTACAACTGCTTCCTTGTTTGGCAAGCCAGCCAGCATTAGAGACTTTATTATTGCTAAGACTCATACTTGAACTTCAAGATGTACTGTTTTGTTGCTAAGTAAGTATAGGGCCACGTTGTAGGATATATTCTGATTCTGATTTCTGATACAAGACAATAAAACTGCTACTACAAACCTTTTTACCCAATTTGACTGCATTGTTTGTTAACCAGGATACATTCCTTTTGCACGGTTTTTACTTGGAATCAGTGTAAGATAAATTGATTTCAATGAAGTAAAAGAATAATCCAATAGAATAAATGAACCTTTCTTTCATTTTAGTGAAGTATCTGGACACGACAAATGTGAGGAATTGGGTCTATAAACAGGTCTGTGTAGTTTTATGTGGATGTAGCTTTATGTGGATGACATTCTTGTCCTTCTTTCAGTGAAAAAAATATGGTGCACCAGCTAGAATTTGTAGTCAAATAATTGTACTATTTATTTCTTCAAAATAAATGTGCTCAAGTAAAATTAAAAAGCACAGCCCCATGGAGGTGTCATCTGGTTAGGATGCCTCATGGCTGGATGTCCTATTGAGAGGACATCATGAGGGAGACACAGTACACACTGGGTGCCTCCAGAGCTGGCTGGGAAGGGGGACGTCTTGGCCTCCCTACTGAAGCTGCTACCCCTGCGACCTGACCCCCCGGTAAGTGGAAGAGGATGAATGAATGGAGGATGAAGTCCCATAAAACCATTGCAAGAAGTAGAAATCTATTATAACCTTACAAGAGTTTGTGTAACTAATTGCATTTTACTAGCTCAGGGAGAATGGTGTAGACTTTATTACTAAGAAAAGTAGGAGAGAAGTGAGGAAAATCTATGTTAATCTGAACTGTTTTTTTCTTACAAATGATGACATTTCAAAGGACAGATCACCATTATCCCATTTTAGTTTTCCTTAAATTGTTTCCCCATTATATCCAGAATTAAAATTCATATCAAGCCCTAAATATTCAAGCTCCATCTTATATCACAGATCAGATTTGTCCTTATGTTCCTAACAACGCTATTCACTCTCAATGCAGGTTTACTGGTGGTTCCTATTCTACTGGAAGATTGGGAGGCATATTGTTTAGTTATCAGGCTCCTCTCCTGTGGAACCAATTACCAGTTTTAGTCCGTGAGTCAGACACCCTGTCTACTTTTAAAGGTATACTATGCAACCGGTGTTGATTTTCCAGCGATGCTCCCCCCAGAGGGCGAAAGTAAAAGTGCACTGTCGTAAATATGCTCAGCTGTTCTCCTGGTTTCTCCGTCAAGCCAGGCGCGGCTGTTTTGCGCTTAGCAGACAGGCGAACGCAACAAATCGCCATGTCTACTGCGGTGAGTGACTATTTTGTTCCAATTTTCCAGTTTGAAAATTTAGCATGTTAACTAACCATGATAATTGCACAAATATCGCCAGTGCGCTAGCAACAAGCATGCCTTTCACTGGGGGCGTGTAGCAGTTCTCGCCGTAAAGCAAGACCGAATCTCGCGATGCATGAGACTTCTGAGCCTGTGGGTGCGGCCGAGGGCTCCTGCAATTGCAAATACGGTATTTTTCTCTACAGACCACCAGGGCGGCCGAGAAAACCTTTGTTCCACCTGAAATGACTCATTTAATCATCCAAAACGTTATGGAACACATTAATTTATTAAAAAATGTTGCATAGTATGCCTTTAAGGCTAGGCTTAAAACTTTCCTTTTTTATTAAGCTTATAGTTGGAGGGGCTCAGGTTATCCTCAGCTATCTCTATAGTTATGCTGCTATAGGCTTAGACTGCTGGAGGACGTAGGGACCACTTTTCATCATTCTGCTTCATTCTATCTCTGTTCTCCAAGTCTGCATTAATTGACTAAACTTTATGTCCTCTCTGCATTTCCTTGTCATATTAGCTTCATCTAATCTGGTCCTGTTTGGTGGTGACTCCGTTTTAGAGCAAGTTAGGCCTTTTTGTTGTGTTTAGTCCTGTATCTGTCCTAGACAGGGCTATGGGCTCAGCTTATAATGTGACTAGCTGTATGTTCTCTCTTTAATCCATTTTTACATTAAAACTGGCTCATGGCTTTTCTTCTTAAGAGCCTATGGTGCTAGTTTATTCTTCATTTTAATAAATTAGAAAATTTGTATAGATAATGTTCCTATGTTCATTTTGTGTGTCTGCTTCTCTCTCCTTGAACCCTCTGTTGGCCTCAGCATAAGATTTCTCACACTTAGGGCCGGATCTATCAAAGGTTTGCGTGTATAAAAACGTGAGCTATTTCACTGCGCACGCTTAAAAAATGTACAAACTGATCTATCAACAGCGTGCTAAAAGGATTTGGTCTTCAAAACGTGCTAAATAGCGCCTCTTATCCATTTAGTACTTTTTCTGCAATGAATATGCAACATGGGGCATTTACACGCAAAAGTGCGTCTTGTGGGAGGAGAACATGTAAATATATTAATTTAGCACTCGCAAAGTGATTTATTAAACCTGAAAGCAATTTTGCTAACGGTATCTGACTCTATATTTAACACGTTTCAAAAGAAGGTGCAAATGGTCTGTATGCGTAATTGCGCACACATGGCAGCGGTTATTGTCGCAAGAAGGAGACATGGAAATGAAGCAAGGAGACGCAGAGAACGCATTTTTTCACTCCGTGTGAATATTTTTGGAATGAACGAGGAAGCGATCATCAAAACATATCGTTTATCCAGCATTGCCATTTTGGAGCTGTTGGGGGAACTCCGAATGGATTTGGAGCCAGCCACAAGGAGGACCCACGCAATACCAGATATCACAAAACTCCTTGCAACGTTGCACTTTTTTGCATCTGGGATCTCCCAATCTCGCTTTTCAGAAGTGCTGTCCGACATTCTAAATGCCATGTCGCCCTGACGCCCTACCGCAGAACCCCGACCTCCCACTTGCGCCTGTGGAGCAACATGCCAATGCTGCGGGGATGCGTACGTACAGTAATCTCATCCACAGTCACTTCTTGTGAGCCATTTGGTATGTGCATATTTCTACAGGCCAATACAAAACACCTGTTTTTTTTTTGTTTTTTTTTACTGCAGTGAAGTAGAAATTCAGCCACATACCACCTTAGGGAATAAAGGTTGCCAAAGTTTATATATATATATTTTTTTTTTTTTTGGAGGGGGTGGGGGGGTCACTGTAAGATTAAAATTTCTTAATGAACTACCTTGCACAAACTACAAACTACTTTGCCGCAAACCACAAAACGCACAAAACCATCATTTAAATAGGGCGTCTCCAACAGTTTTGCACCTGCCACCAGTTACGCAATCGCTCTTGTTAAATCACCCGCAAACCATGGTTCAGCCCCTCGTGCAAAATTCCAGTTTGTGAGCGCAAATTACTGCACGCAAAATTGGATCTTGATAAATCCGGCCCTTAGTCTCATTCTACTGGAGGTTTCTTCATGTTTTCCTCTCCACTATCACTGCATGCAGTTCGATGTGAGGGATTGTTGTTGAGTCAATAACAATGCCAACAATGTCAGTAATGCAATCTAATATCTCCTGTTGCTACATTGCTCATCAAGAAAGAGTGTATGTTGTAAAGTCAATGACTAGACGCAATCATCTTGCTTTCCTTGGATAGAAACGTTTAATCAGTCTGACAGGATGATCTGTCTCTGTAAAGTGTCCTAAGATGACATGTGTTGTGAGTAGGTGCTATTTAAATAAAATGAATTGAATTAAAATGAAACTCGATTTATTTTAGGGGTACCTCAGTATCTGGTAAAGTAAAAAAATGACTGTTACCTTTTCAGAGCCGATGAGGTCCCAGTGGAAAGCCTTTGTCCGGGATTTTTTAAAGGTTTTCCTTATTCTGACAGGCAGAGGTGGTGGAGCCGGTATTACTGAGGGTGGAGGTTTTTTCACAACAGGGAAGGGTGGTTTTTGAGACTCCGGGCCGGACGATAAGGAAGTGACCCCTACATGGCAGGGTGAGGGTGGAGGAGAGGAGGGTAAGTTTGGGACAGAGGCACAGGGAGAGGTTGGAGACGGAATGGGACTCAAATGATCTGACCCAGCAGTAACTTGAACAGCACTCTTTCCAATGCGAGGTTTGGGGACCGGCTTTGTTTCAGCCGAGGGAGAACTGTGACCTGCTTCCCCTGATAACGAGATGTCTTTCCCTTTGGATGCGGGATCTGAATTTTCATGGTCACTCGTCTCTAGATCTGAGTCGTCGTCATCCACATCTTCCGGTATGCTGATTTGCTGTAATGTCTTGGACTCCACAAACATGTTTTCAGACCTGGACTTCCTCTTCCAATGTGAACACAGTTTATGGATGGCTTTGACCCAGGCATCCCGCTCACGCACAGTGCTAGAAGAACCTGCTTCCTCCGAGGCAGGGACTCTAAACCTGAAACATATCAATAAAATTTCACCCATCTTCTCTGTTTAGCTGAAACTCTTATAAGTAACACTAATTACACCCTGTTTATAACACTCTAAATCACACAGAACAGGACATGCAAAAAAAAAAATATCTCAATCTGTGACACTGAAATGTCAGGGTAGAATTAAAAGGCGCTCATGTTGTTACTCACTGGTACTCATTTTTGTGGGTGTTGAGAACAAAGGTGTCAGGGCTATACGGTTTCTGTACGCTGGTGTGACCGTCTGATAAATGAATTACAATGGAAAGAGGAACCGAGGATGTCACGTCACCATCTATGTTGCTTTGCTGCCTGACTGGAAGCAGTGTTAGCTCCCCTGGGTGCAGCTGAGCTGTGTATCTGAAACACAACAAGGGGAAATATGCGGTGAAATGATTAACTGTAAGTTTCAACAAAACAATACCGCCAGTTTATTATCTTAAACGAACTGCTATGCACTGGGAAAACAGCCACCATTAAAATCCACTCTATTGTTTCATACTAAAGCTGTGAGATTTGATTCATGTACCTGTATATAATAGATTATTTAAAAATAACTATGTGGTATCTCCCAAGCTAATTTATCACTTTTACTTTGTTTACTTTATACCCTTTGGATCCTGAACAAATTTCACCCTTTGTTAACGTTGGTAAAAACATGGTCGTATTTTTTTTTCCAGAACCATTTAAAGGAAGAGGCTTTAATGCTTCTTTAAAAAAGTAGCTGAAATTAATGTGTTATGTCTTATCTTAATCTTATGTTGATATAGGCTTAGGCTGCTGGAGGACATGGGGACAACTTTTCCTCACTCTGTTTCAGTCTTCTTCTGTTATACAATTCTACAATATTTAGTTAAGCCTCTAACCTTAAATTCTCTTTACTTTTTCGTTTTATAGTAGCTTTATCTGGCCTGGTAAGCTGTGACACCATTCTGAAGGGGGCATCCAGCCCAGCTGGCTGCTGCCATCAAGAATTCCCATCACAGATGATGGAGTTTGGTCAGTTTTTAAGTGTTTAGTCCAGTTGACGTAGGTAAATTTTCACAGCTTTTACTGTGATTATCTACTGTATATGTGCCCTATTTCATAGCTTTTGAGATGTAAACTGACTCAGAGTTCATATGTTTAACTGGTAGCTAGTTTACCCTACCTGCATAGACATTTGCCTTGACAGGATCCAGCTGGTTTTCTTTGGGAAACATTACACAAATCTGACTGTATGATCTGATTAAATTCTCTCTGTAAACTGCCATGAAATTGCATGCCTTTTATATTGGTGCCATATAGATAAACTGACTTTAAGTGAACTTTAGATACAGAGTTTATCTGTAATTTAAGGCTCTACCGAACATAACGGACTCCCTTCTGAGTGATGCTTTATGACCTAGATATGTTGTTGCTCTGCCCCTCATGGCTCTTATCCTTGGAACCTAGAGGATCAGACATTTTCAAGAACCAATTGTACGTCTTTTGGATGTTTTAATGTGTTGTAATTTTCATGGCAAACATATAGAGCAGCAATCACTTCTAAGGCAACGCAAATATTAAGGTTAAGAGGCTGAGCTCGTAGATGATGATAAATAACATAGTTATGTATAATATATTACATTTCTGACAGTATATCCCTGTAATTATTACACACTGTAGCTTTAAGGAGCAAAATGAAAACATCGGGTTCCCTGAAAACTTATCACAACAATAAAACTATTTTCTCAGATTTCCTTTTTCTGCATTTTATTGGTTGTTAAGGTGAGAGACCAACACAACACAGCAAAAGGAAATAAAAAATAAAATCTAAACAGAGCTTCATTGCTCCAGGATATTTATATGCAATGCAGAATTAACAAACTAGTAAATAGAGGCTTTCTGTTAACTTCAACTGAAGTATGAATACTTTTTTTCTGTGAATTTCCCAGACAGAGCATTCCTGAAGAAAAAACCTCATGGACACTAAGAAAGAGCAAAGAGGTCAGGAATAAAAGGGGAGGAACTGATGTCTGTTTAATATATGATCAGGAAGAGTAGCTATGGTACCAGTGCAAACCTAATGTCTAAACCAGCGGTCCCAACCACCGGGCCGCGGAACGGTACCGGTCGGTCGGTCGTTTGGTACCGGGCCGCACAGAAAAAGTGTATATATATAATTTATGGACGATCATAGTCTGAGTGATGTTTTATTTTGAAAAATAAAAAAAATTGCGGTATTCTCTCCCAATTACATCAGTCTGTGCATCAGGTTAATTCAGTTCAAGACTCATCCTATCTATAACATCCTTTATTTGTGAAGCGGGATTTTCTACAGTTACAGCGACCAAAACAAAGCTACGGAGCAGACTGGAAATCGGGAGCACACTTCATGTGTTATTGTCTCCGATTATGCCTAGATGGGACCGGCTTGTTGTTTTATTTTTATGCTGTTTGTATTTGATTTTATTCCAGTCGTATCCCCCGTGACCCCCCCCCCCCACACACACACACACACACACACAGGCACCCCCACCCCCCGAACCCCCGACTCGGCCGGTCCATGAAAATAGTGTCTGACATATAGCGGTCCGTGGTGCAGTAAAGGTTGGGGACCGCTGGTCTAAACAAAGATCCTCGGCAAGTGTATGCATGGTAATCTATTGTTTCTCTGAGGGAGAAGCTAAGAGCATCTGCTCTGAGGCTAACTGGTGCAATGCAGTATATATATATATATATATATATATATATATATATATATATATATATATATATATATATATATATATTAGGGATGGGACAATTTATGAAAACCGTCAGAATCGTTCGGTTCGACTGTCTCGGTTCGGTTCGCGTGTGTTTCGTTCGGTTGCGCTGCTCCTTTTTCTCATAGAGGAAGCGATTACACTCCAGAGCAGAAGGTGGCGGTACTGCGACCAAAGCCAACCGCCAGTAGTAAACAAGAAGAAGAAGAAGCGAAGCAGTAGAGGTGGGCGATACCGGGATTTTTTAATCGATCCGATACCAAGTAAATACTGGGTCAGTATCGCCGATATCGATACCGATACCGATACTTTTTACATTTAAGCTGCACTTGCCTGTTGCTTTTTTTCTATAAAGTTCTCAATCGTGGAATAAATAAGAGATTATCTAATGTTAGCTTATTTTAGCTAACAATTTTTAATGGGATAAATGTACTGGGTTTTTTCAAGGTCTTAACTACACTTTCTGAGTAATATATGATGTATAATGAAGTGCTGCAGACGATGACCACTGTTATCTACCTGGATATTCTCTGGAGGACTGAAACGCTTGGGTCAAAGATGTCTGTCTGAGGCTGGAGGCGGGTCTTTGGTCTCTCTCTCCATCCAAGTCTGAGTGAGCACTCACCCAGCAACCGGCAGCGCGGTTGTCTGTGTGACGTAGTGCTGAGTGGGCAGGCCAAGCTAAGCCTGCGCGCTGATTGGCTGGCGCCGCTGAGCCATGTGACTGTAGGAGAGGGGAGGGGGAGCAAAGTGCTGTTACACATATGGGGAAACTGGTGACTCCGCAGCAGTCAGCGCGCGCGAGAGAGGATAAAAAGTATCGATCTTGTTAAACGAATATTGTTCAATATAAATACCAGCGTTGGTATCGATAGTATCGATCCTGGGATCGATCCGCCCACCTCTACGAAGCAGCTTAGCCGGGTGTAGCAGGGAAAAAAATCATTTGTTGTGGAGAATTGTGTCGGACTGGCGAGTGGGAAAGAACAGGATTTGGAAGACGCGCCAGCAGCACTTTATAGGTCTGCTGTATGGGACCACTTTGCATTTAGAGTGACCTACGATGACGGCGGAAAGAAAGTTGTGGATAAAAGTGCAACAGTGTGCAAGCATTGTGCAACACGTTTTGTTTATGCTAACAGCAACATGTCATGCTAACCCCGAAATCCCACATACTCCGTCAGCAACCCCCGCTGCGCTCCAGACCGGCTGCTCAAAGCAAAGCCTACAGCCCCCACTGTGGCTTCGTCCGCTCCCCTCTGAGTTCCTTGGAGATGTTAGAGAGCATGTAACCTGACAACAGCCAGATGCATGTGGCGGAGCGAGACATGCATCTGGCTGTTGTCAGGTTAGAGAGCATGCGCCAGATGATTAAATTCAAAGCAGCAAAACATGCGGAAATGATCCAGGGTGGCCGCGGATCATTTAAAATAATTACAATCCATTATTTTTGGGGGGATTTTTTCATTAATTTCATAATTTTTTATGGAATTTCGGTGTAACAATCAACATGTATGGAATCGAACCGAAAACCGTGACCAGAAACCGTGAATCGAACCGAACCGTGGATTTTGTGAATCGTTCCACCCCTAATATATATATATATATGTATGTATATATGCATGTGTATGTAAATGTGATTTGTAAACTTTGTAAAAGTTTAAAAAGAAGGAATTTTTATAACTCAATCTGAAAAAAAAGTAATAAACAGAATAAATAAAAAAATCTGTACATTTAATAAAATAAAATAAGAAGTTAAATGAAAATCATTTAGAAATTTTTGAAGAAAAATTAATGAAGAACTTTTTTTAAATTTCCTTCCTTGATTGCATTTTTTTTCTAATTTCCAATAAATGAAAAATAAAGGAAAAAATGTCCCTCCATATAAGACGTAATAGAACAAATAAAAGAAAAATCAGCTAAGGTTTATTTACAGTATCTTTTCACAAAGGGGAAAAAGTCATCACCATTTCAGGAAGTTGAATCAAAATCTAAATAAACTGTCATTTGCTCTTTCATAGAAAGTTTCATTGAAAGTTAAAACGAGATGCAGCCGTACTTCACCCATTTAAAAGATGCCAGTCCTCCTCTGTGCAATAACAATACACCTGTTTTCAGGCTCTGCGATGCTTGAGGCTCCTGCTGTGATTCTGAACTCTCATCTTCAGAGCCGCTGTATATGTTTCCATGAATGATCTGATTCACAAGCTGCATCATCTGCACCGGAAGAAGACACCTTTAGGATACAAACTCTTAATGCACTGACTTCTAATCAGCTCTAATTAAAAGTATCTGATTAAGCTAACAGTTTACCTTATGTTTGTCCTCTAGTGATGTAGCCTCCAGCTCATAGTCATGGTGTCCTTTAAAAGAAATGGAGAACCTAGAACCAACTCCATCATCACAGCTCTTGACAATCATGAAAGGCAGCTGGCGTTTGATGATGCCTTTCTCTATACTGCACAACATCTTTGTCTTGAAATCAATCTAGATGAACAGAAGTTTGAATAACAAAACAAGTAAGACATAATCCTTATAAGCATACGATACATACATTGTTCCTACATACTGTGGGAACCAGTAGGAGAAAAAAGAAAACATCCTAATATTTCAAGCCGTTCTGCCATTTTAGATCAGATGACACCAAAATGTTTTATTTTATTTTTATTAATTTATCAGATGGTTTATTCCTGTTAAAAGGGAGATTTTCCTCTCCACTGTCGCTACGAGCATGCCTAGTGTGAGGGATTGCCTTCAAGTCAATAAGAAAATGCAATCAACTGGTTTTGCTTAGATAGAAAACTATTGGGATTGTGCTTTTCTATATTGTGCTGTTTATGGTTGTAAAATGACAAAATGTGAAAAGGTTTAAGAGGCAAGGCTACTTTTGCAAAGTGCGTCAGCTTAAACTTGGAAAGCCTCTGTGGTTTTCAAACTCACCTGTAGAACCCGCTTCTGCCACCTGTAGCGGCCATGTTTATGAACACTGAAGTTGTATTGCTGGTTTGTATTGTTCTGAGGCTGTTCCTGAAACAGAAATGATAGAGAATAGAGGAAGTCACCCTAACAGCTATGATCAACATAGACTCTTCATTGTTCACCGCAACAGCAGATCTGGCTAAAGGAGAAACGATCCAAACCAAAAGTTTCAAACTGATCCAGCAGGATGAGCTGCATACTTGAGAAGACAATGTTAAAAACAAATTTAGCAGGAGGATAAAATGAACAAAAACAGGTTCTGGTGCTTTTTTCTGCTGAAATAATGTAGCCAGAACTTTGTTTGCATGTGAAGTTGCTTCATTTTAAAACCTTTGCCTGAAAACAAACTATGGTAAGTGTAATTCAGGCTTATATTGCAGACACTATAACAGGTGCTTTTCAAAGGCAAGCCTAACTAGAATTTATATTATTTCATTTTTAATAAATGCTTCAAATATTTTATATGTATTATATCCCTTTTGTTGTTGTTAGAACTCCATCTTAATCTGATCACAGTCTCAGTACAATGCTGCCTGCAAATTAACCCATACGACAAGTTAAACCATCCAATCCCTTTTATCCACAGTCACAAAGACCCGTGTAATCCTCAACATAACTTTGTTAAACTGCCTTCCTGTTTTAGATGTTCTTTGTGAATATAAACTGGAACTGTATGGAGTGAATTTTGTTCCATTATTTTTTTGCAAGCAAGATCATCTTTTGTAAATGGACATTTGAAAAAACATATTTTGTATATTAAAATGAAAAAAAAAAAGTTATGCAATCAGAAAATGAAACTTTGAAAAAAAAAATTCATTTAAAAAATAAGGTTTTAAAGCTACAGTGTGTAATAATTACAGGGATATACAGTCAGAAATGTAATATATTACACACAACTATGTTATTTATCATCATCTACGAGCTCAGCCTCTTAACCTTAATATTTGCGTTGCCTTAGAATTCGTTATTTATAATTACATAGGAGCGGGTCTCTCAGCCATGGAGGCAGACATCTTTGCACTACGGCAGCGCAGAGCCAACTAACTAGCGATTGCGAGATCGCCAAAACGTCATAACGATGTAGAAAAAATAACGGGTATATTTATTATCTTAAGTCTACATGAAATCTATACCCTACACAGACTAATGAAATACTATCTGTAAAATTATCTATGTAAACAAACCTCATCACTTGAGAATGTATGTGATGCGGACGTCGTGGAAGAGATTTTGTCCCGTAACGCTCGCCGTACTGTTGGGGGGAGAAGCGGTGGGGGGGAGATGACTCGTGCGCGCGTCATGAGAGAGGGGAGGATGGAGATTGAGGAGGACTCCAGCGGCAAAACAGCGCTTTCCAGATGGAAATACTTGTGTTACGTCGAGCTGCGTTTCCCCATCAGATACGGTTTCCCCTGCATCTCCGCACAGTGCAGCGGCACGATTCACCGCGCAAGCGACAGGAAACGCGCATGCTCGCTAAAGGCGCGTAACAGCCGCCCTGTGCTCGCGCCACAGGGGAACTATGGAGAGCATGAACGATCATTAGCCTATATGGAGAAAGAGAGAAATATGGATGGATGGATGGATGGATGGATGGATGGATGGATGGATGGATGGATGGATGGATGGATGGATGGATGGATGGATGGATGGATGGATGGATGGATGGATGGATGGATGGATGGATGGATGGATGGATGGAATAGATATAGCTACATGTTGCAGTATCTATAACAACCCAAACACAGGATTTCAGATTTAGACATCCCCAGTTATTAATTTCATACACTCGCAAAAGTAACGCAATAGTTACTTTTACTAGTAACTAGTTACTTTTATTGTAGAGTAACTCAGTTACTAACTCAGTTACTTTTTGGGAGAAGTAACTAGTAACTATAACTAATTACTTTTTCAAAGTAACATGGCCAACACTGGTCACAGCTGCTGTTGCCTTTGAATTGCTTTATTTATATGGCAGAATAAAAAAAAAAAAAGTATTTTTAATTCATGTTTATGGCTCTATAACCACAGACACTCTCTATCTGTTAGTGATTAGCCCGGTTACTCACATGGAGAAGCTGCTCCCTTTCCTTTCTTGCCTGGTTCAGAGCGTCGTCGATGGATATCTCCCCATTTTTTACTCTGTTCATGATGCTGAGCTGCATTTCGTTGCTCAGCTGAAATGAATACACAGAGAAATAAATATGGGATTAAAAACACAAAGTAGCAAAGATATGGAGTAATTATTGTGATTTCCACATTTATTTATTCTTTTTCTAGTGTTTTATTGTCATTACACACTCAGAAATACAGCACAACGAAATTCACTCTGCATTTAACCCATCCCCTTGGGGAGCTAGCGGGGGTTAAGGGTCAGGGAGCCAGTGTGACAGTCTGGGGGTGTGGGTTTTGATTCCCAGCTCTATGCCCTAACCATGAGGCCACCGCCATCACTACTATTTCTCCTTTGTTTTTCCATAAATATCTTGTAACACAAGGTTGCAAACATCCAACACTTGCAGTCAGTCACTGACCTTGTATCGCACTTTTACATCTTTCATGTCAATATTTTTCTTTAGTCATTTATTCTGTGGAAGGATCAATATGACATGACCAGATAACAAAACAAAACTCATGGTTACCAGGAACCTTTCTCAAAAAATGTCCTCATGTGACACATTTCTCAGTAGGCAAACGGTCCCGTTGAGGGAAAGTACTTGTCTTGGGGAAGTCAGGTTGAATTGAGGAAGTAAGAAATGTCTAAAAGGACTCCTTAAATTTCACCAAGACTTGCTGCGTTGATGTGACGTACATTTAAGCCAGGGGGCTGACTGCCTTCTGCAAAGCTAGACATACTGTATTAACAGTATGAAACTAATCTGTAAATGGTTTGGTAGATCTTGTAAGTGAAAATTGCATTATTATCTTACCTGGGGCAAGTCACCCATAGGTCTGTCTGGTTTGGACACATAGTCTTTCTTCTTTGATCCTAAACCAGGCATCGCAAACGAATATCAGTGCAACAGATCAAGGTTCCTTTTTCTCCAATGGTGCAGAGTTTGGCTTTGTTTTCATTGTCCTGCAACAGATCTTCCTCAGTAACCTGACAAGAGGAAAACTGCACTGATTTCTACCACTCTTTTTTAGTACCGCCCTCTTTCAGCTCAGGTTACAGGTTTTTTTCAGATGAGAGCTTCTCTACTGGTCCAGCCACACCTACAGACAGAAGTTGGAGAACTTTCAGCTAACATGTCTTGACTTGCATAACAAACTCGTTATATTGTTATGGTGTTATGGTGTTTCCTTTTTTATCTTTCTAAATAATGTCAGCATTAATTTCGGTAATGATCTGTCAAATATTCAATATTAAATAACTACATAACCTTGAGGATTTATTTACTAGTTTTGAAACTTTGTACCTGCAATAATACCTGCTATGGCTGAGATCATAACCTTCTGGAAGATCCAAAAGTGTAAGCTTTAGAAAAATAATCTGTGTGAGGCCAAGAAAAACAAAACAGATGGAAAAAAACAGTGCTGTGGGGCAAGAAGTCCCATAACAATAACAACCAATTTTTACAGAAAATGTTCTCCAGACAAAAATGTATGTATTTTAAAGGAATTTAATATGGCCGTGGTAGATCTGTTCTATAGTAAGACGTGGGAAACCATGGAGATTTCACATTTGGTGCAGAAATAGATCTCCCTAAATCATAAAAAAGTCTCCTGGAGGTATATCCTAAAAACCACAGGAAGTCGTTCATTTTGGGTCAAAAGTTTTTTTTTTAGACTTAGACAACCTTTATTGTCATTTTGTACACATAGGGTGTATAGAAAATAAATTTCGTATTGTACAGTTCTCAGGACATATCTTAAAGTGCAGCAGTGATCAAATATAAACATAAGAAAGAGACATAGGACTTTTTGCCATTTTTCCTTTCTATTCATACGGAAATTTCACAAACTACTCCTAAGGCCAACAGCTTCAAACATGGTCAGTATGCAGTAAAGCATGACATGAGATCAAACGTTATCCAAACTGTGAGTTTATTATTATTTGGAAGGGGCATGACCAGGCCTTGAAGTTGGTGTAAGGCAATCACTTCACATGGACGGGTCAAATGAGACCAGGTCCCCCAGGGGTGTGTGCTCGGCCTCTTGCTATTTTCCATTTATTTGCAGCCGCTTGGCCTTCATTGGGCAGGCCCTCAGGCCATCCTCGTGAAGTCTGTTTCTGATTGTTTGGTCAGAGACATTCACACCAGTGACCTCATTTTGTAGGGCTCTGGCAGTGCTCCTCCTGCTTCTCCTTGCTCAGAGGAGCAGATACCTGTCCTGCTAATGGGTTGTAGACCTTCTACGGCCCTGTCCAGCTCTCCTGGAGTAACTGCTTGTCTCCTGGAATCTCCTCCATGCTCTTGAGGTTGTGCTGGGAGACACAGCAAACCTTTATGGCAATGGCACGTATTGATGAGCCATCCTGGAGGAGTTGGACCGCCTGTGCAACCTCTGTAGGGTCCAGGTAGCACCTCATGCTAACAGTAGTGACAGTGACCCTAGCCAAATGGAAAACTGGTGAAAAAGAGTCAGAAAAGATGAGGAGGGGGGAAAAATGTCAGTGGCCTCCACCTGTAAAACCATTCCTGTTTTGATGGTTGTCTCGTTGTTGTCCCTCTAGTGCACCTGTTGCTAATTTCATTAACACCAAAGCAGCTGAAACTGATTAACAACGCCCTCTGCTACTTACCTGACCAAATCAATATCCTAGAAGTTTATTAACTTGATGCTATACTCTGATTACAAAGTGTTCCTTTCATTTTTTTTGACTAGTGTATGTCATGACAAGAAATTTCACTTATTTCATCATTGTCATTTATTTGCAAAGCATATTCTAATAAGTGTTGCTCAGCCAGCTGCTCAGGGCATGTGAAGTGTACCTAAAGACAGCTTTAAGAAACTCAGCATTGCCATGTGTTGCCGTTACAGAGTAGAATATGGGACCAACATAACTCACCACCTGTTTAAATGTTCACACTTTTTCAAATGATGTTGGAAAATCACTTCTTTCAAGTCAGAAATGTTCCCTTAATTGAAAATGAATGTCCAAGATAGTGTCATTGTGAATGGATGTATATGTTACAATATTATGCTCTTGTGAGAAATGTGCGACATGTTTTTTTTCTAACATGAGCCTGCTCGGGAACTAGAGAGGGAAATTAATAAATGTGTTATAACCTATTGTAATGCAGCTCTCCGTTCTGAGGTTAATGCCTATTGTGTACGGTCCCTGTTTAAGTAAAAAGATGAAATGGAAAAAGGGAGTGTTTATCTTTCATAAATGCAGACTTTGTTACCCATGCATTTGCTTCTTTGCACATTGACCCTTTCAGTTTTAGAGTCCTGCAGATGGTTCAAAAACACAGCTGCTTGTATCATGATCACAATAGGAAAATATGAACTTTTTGTCACAGTTACTACATTCTTCACTGGTGGCTGAGTTACTTTGAAGCTGATTTTGAAATCTATCTGCTAATGCTACTCACCTAAAAGGCCCTAAATGACCTGGTGGCTTCTTACCCTTGCCACTCTTACAGAAAAGTCTAGCTACGCCACTGCGCCCTGTGCATTTGATCTCAGTGCACCATTTTTCTTAAAGTTCCTAATGTTGCGTTTGCATAAAACTGGAAACCAGTGAAAAAATATTCAATTCCAGGTGCTTTTCACCTGCTTTTTCATCTGCTGAGCGACAGCAATTCACATAGCAGGAGACCTTTGCAGATCCAGCGTAGCTGTTATTGGCAAAAACACACCTTTCACCTCCCTAGAAAACCTTTCCTTCGCCTGACTTCACCTCCCAGCGCTCCTTAGCTGCCCTCTATGTAGGGTTAACGTCAATCTTTAAAAACAAATTCAGTGGGAACTCAATTTAAAGATAGGAGTAAATCTATAGGCAGTGTTTATTCCTTCCCTTACCTTTATAGATCAATCTCCCTCTTCACATTCGGCAGACTTATTTTCCTTTTTGGGGTTTTTTTATTTGATTATTTTCTGTCACATGCTCTTAAGCGCTTTGTTTGAAAGCATTTTGAAAATAAAGTTATATTATAATTACTACAGTTCAAGTAGGATCAGTTTCAGACATAAATAAAGCATATTAGTTTGCAGGTCATTGATCAGGCTGCAGAAAGTAAAAAGCCGTCTTTTAAACTATAAACCATAAACTGTTTGATTGACACGCCCATCCAGCCAATCAGGAAGAGGGAGGAGAGAAGCAGACAGGAATTCATGGAAACTTTGAAGGGGCTGCAGAGGTCAACGACTCTAGATAAAATGAAGACATTTTAGTCAAGTTTAGAGGAAAATATTCCTGCAATCAGGGGCGGATTTACCATTAGGCAAAACTAGGCAGCTGCCTAGGGCCCCAAGTTCGTGGGGGCCCCATAAACCTCCTTTTACATGTATGGTTAATTCAGGTATTACTCATTTGTGCACATTAATTATGTTTTTGATGCAAATCCTGTCTCTAATATGCCATTAGAATGCTTGTAATAGTAAGTCCCCCCCCAACAACCCCTTAGTGTCCACCACATTGGATCAGTCCATTTTCTGGGCAAGTGCAGCAAAGCAGCAAAGCATCTGAAAACAAACGGTGCCAAGAGTACTGTTGCCAGCTTTGCCCTATGCGCTTTTGTCGCTTTATTTAGCAACTTTTCAGACCCCTCTATCACTTTTTTTTTTTAAAGCGCTTATTTATAAATAATAAAATTTAAGATAAAATTCTGTATCTGTATAACGGGTCTGTTTTATGTGTTGTCTTTTCAATTCAGAGGGCCCTATGCATGTCTTTGCCTAGGGCCTCAAATTTCCTAAATCCGCCCCTGCCTGCAATCAATGTTATTATTACACTTTACATTAGCATTTTATTTTTCCTATTTTGGACAGAAACTTAATAATTTATTTATTGATTGTTAAACATTAATGAATAATGCTAAGATGTTGTGCATCATTATTTTTTAAATTAAATTCTCTGTGTGTGACTGATTAGTTAGCCAAATGTTGGGTCAATTTTCTGTTACATACTGAAGCAACATGTGGATGTGAAATTCTAAAATTCAACCCATTCCAGAAATTAACTTAGCAGCATATTATAGTCAGAACAACAAACCCCGTTTAGGCTCAGAAAACCCAGCTGTGGTGGAGCAATCCTCAGGAATGCTGTGGCCCCCAACCAAACTTGCAGCACTGGAGAATTAGAGCAAAAGTATGAAGCCAGAATTCTGCTAAAATGCAGCACAGCTTTGTTTAAAACACATGCATGTAAACCTTTTTCACTGCGCATTTTAAACATTTTGTACGTGCAAATTTGATACATTATATCACAAACATGCATGCAAACTCTTACTCTGGCCTTGTGGCTTGCTTTACTATATATATATGTATATATATATATATATACATTTAAGAAAATTAAACATGAACAGTACGTTTAGAAATAAAAGAAAAATATACTCTCCAAACCTCTTTTAAACAAAGTTTTTCTTTACTTGCAACAAAAGGGAACAAAACTCACTCCATATTTTAATTAATTTATTTAATTTTTTCATCTTTAGGATGATTAACCCATTTATGTATTATTATTAAAAATGCGCAGCCTTTTTATTTATCGATTACTTATTTTTTTATAAATACATTTGTTTGTATTTTTTTAATAGCTTTGTGTGTTTTACACTTTCTTTTTATTTTTTTTAACCCTGTTATAAGTCAGTATTTGTTGCAGCATCCATTTTGGCAAGAGCGCACACACGGCAAATAAAGTCAGGAATTAAAGCATTGTTTTCGAATAAATTAGCTAAATACCTCAGCTTAGCTCACTGATAGACGGTAGCCATCTTGGTTGTGACTGTGGCTGCGCTGCTAGTATCTAGACCAACAGCCAGAGGTTATCCCTTATGAGCCCCCCTTCTCCTTTGCATTATAAGGCATACATAGTAATAAATACATAGAAAAATAATTAGTTATGAAAAAATAAAATTGGTTAAAAAAAATAAAAAAACATACAAAAATATCAAACCCTACAAAGAGGTGATGGGTTTATTAAAATCTAACATTAAATTTAAATAAATCATAATAAATGAATGAGCCAGTTAACAGAGTTACATATTTATATTTTATTTTACTAATTTATTGTTGTCTATATTTTGTTGGGATCCTGAGGCTTGCCCACCAGAGGGCGCCAAGGATCCCTTCCTGAGGGCTTGTGCTCAATTGCTTCCACCTGTTGCTCATCTGCTCATCAGGGGATCTGTATAATAGGAGGCAGAGGACATCATCCCGGTGCCAGAGTGTTTGCCTGATATGGTTAGCAAGCCTGAGCCAACCTGCCTGTCTGAATCTTTGACTCCCTGAAAACCAGAACCTGATCTGTTTTGTCTTCTCTGCTTCCCAGGTTGAACCTGTCTGAAACCCTGAAGAGTTTCTCTGTTGGAAATCTGCCTGCCTGCTCTCTGAAGAATCTGGAAGGGAAACTCAAACCTGGTGATCTGCAAGCACTTAAACCAAGCTCTGCCTCTAACCAAGCCCTTAGCCTGCCGACAGCCTCTGGACCCTCCTGGTTCCCCCCCTCTGCCGCTCTGCTCAAACTCCAGAACAGGTACAGACCTGCACCTTCACATCCTGCAAATTACCTGGACATCTGCTAACTCCTCTGTCCCCCTCTGCAGTGAACCCACTCGTAACCAGTCCTGGATCTGATAACCCCCTGACCTGTTTATTGTACTAATTATTTAATAAACCTTTGAACTTTTTCCCTGTCTGAGTGTTCTGCATGTGTGTTAGGAACCTGAAACCAAACATGACATATTTAAGTATTTCCTGTATTTTTTTATGTTTAATTGTACATATTAGTATTTTTTTTGTTGAATATTTATCTTTGTATTTAATTATGTCAGAAATGACCTTCCATACATATTGCACATTTTAAATGCCCTTGTTTTAAAGGAGGTTTATCTCTGATGCAGGTTAATTTGTTAAGCGTTCCCTACAAGGTTATTCATCAAATTTCTAAATTCTATCCTAATTAATTTGTCCTATAAGACTTTTTTTTTATTATTATTTTACTGACAGCAAATGTTAAGTTAAAAACACATCATACCAATTGTCCTTAAACACTATAGTTTAGCATGTTTTTCTTGCTTCTATTTATTGGCTAATAGCTTATAAGGAACCATTCAGTTTGCTTGAATTTGTAATGCACAAATTTAAATAAAACAATACTTTAATTGTATTTTTTCAGCTACAGTAATGACTTCATTTTTCACAAGCAACAAGAGGACAGAAACTGGAAACTTCCATACAGCCCTGATTATTTTTGCTTGTGCTTAAAAAGTTATTCCCTCTGCATTTCCCTCGAACTAAAAGAAAAGGCAGACCTTAACTGGGCTTGTTGAAATGATCCGGTTAATTACAGAAGTGCATTTTAGAAAGCTTGTATCAGGAACTGATGGGGAATCCTTCACAGCAGCTATAGCTGGGAAACCCCCCCTAATAAAAAGTTTTTGGGGAATCCCTTCATCCTTACACAGTTAAGTTCAGACAAAATAACATAAGACATCTTTATTTCTGATAAATAATGATTATATCGTTGTAAACACTTTAAGGTTCCTTTATTATCCATAAATTAACTGTAAAGTAACTTTAAAGCTTATTTTTTTAAATCTGGCTGCAAGTGCAACGAGTTAGACACTTTAGACTTTCTGTGACGTTTTGGTGCATTTAAAAAGATATATTTCAAACACTATAATGTTGTATTGCAGTGTAGAAAACATGATACAGTTTGAAAATCTCATCCAAACAGGAAGCAGACATGTCAGGACAAGTTGCATTTTTTTGAAGGAGAGAAAAGAAGCGAAATGTTTAGAGACAAACTGCGCTCTATTACACGATTAAAGACTTTTAGACAAACTAAAACCAGCTTCAGACGGGTTTTAGGCGGATTTCAGTTATTTAAATCCTCAAATAACATATTTTCACACATAGGGGGGAAAAAAGGGAAGGATGACGTCACATTCGGATTTTTTTTTTTTTTTTTTTTTAGCTTTATTAGAGAATTTTTGTACTACAAGAAGATATAAGTACAATTTCCAACGCCTCGCCAGGGGTTTGAACAAAAATAGTAATTATAAATAAAAATAAATAACGTACAGTGATGGAGTAAAGCTGGACATAGAAGCATATGAGAGGATTACATAAACAATTTGATCATAGTGTTTACGTCACACTGGGATCCAGTAAATCCATGTTATGGTTGATGTCATAGTGAGAATAAACTAGGATGTGAGGAGGGAAAAACCCCGTCATGCTGGGGTCGCTTTTACAGGAAATGGTCAAGAAATCAGAGAGTCACGTGGACTAGTTTCAACTCCTCCCCACTCATACAGAAAAGACTTTCGCAGAACATTGCTGATCGTAGATCAGTAGGAGCGTCTGGGAGCGTCTGTCTGCAGCAGGAGCGTCTGTCAGGACCGCGTCTGTTTCCGTCAACATGTTCCGATCCCTGCTGCTCTTACTGAGCGCTCTGATGGTGAGTCCATTATTGGATCCATTATTTATTTATTTGCGTAGATAAAAAGCAAAAAAAAAAGAGGGCAGCCTTTAACCTAAATGAAAAACATCATATATATATTTTTTTCCAGTATCATATGTATATAAAATGAGATTTACAGGCTATTATAACTGAACTTGAAATGTAAAGAATTACCTTTATATGTTTAAGGCGCATTAGAGCCCGTCCTTTTTTTTCATACTTTCACTTTCGATACTTGAAACCCAAAACGTAAAATAACGTTGATAATAAGATGAAAAACAGGAGAAACCACCTCCACCTGCCGCGCCTGGAGCTCCACGCATGCTGAATTTCTGGGACTTTCCAATCTGCACAGAAAAGATCCTTCTGAGGAAGTGAAGCTCTGACAGAAACTGCGCCAGAGATCACATGAGGACACGCGTGTAAATAACTAGCGTGGGCTTCATTGATATATTGTTTTTTTTTTTCTGCTTTGCAGGTGGTGGGAGCTGCAGAGCATTTATGTGACACCCTCACCCAGTATGAGAAAGGTGCTCAGTGCTGCCAGATGTGCGAACCAGGTGTGTGAATAAGTAGGAGGCAATTAAACAAATGCTGTAGATGAAGAGAAAGAAGGGAGGGAGAGGACCCTTAACTTTTGCTTTCACTTATTTTTTCCTGGAATTCTTCCCTTTCACTTTCCTGGCTTGTGGATCAATCCATATTCTCCAGGTTTGGGTATTGATTCTGGATTCTGATTATTTTAAGAGGAAGAATCATAAAAGTTGATATGTTTAGGATGAGGTGGCTGAGCAGAGTTCCTCTGAGTGAAACAATCTGAACTGTACTAGAATTACCATTAACATACGGAGGGTATTTTGTTCCGTTTTTGTTGCAACCGACGGGCAAGCTTTGTAAATGGGAAAAAAAAAAACAGAAATGAAACTTTGAAAAAGAAAAACTGTATTCATCAAAAAAGTATTTGGAAAGTTTCGTCTTTTCTCATATTGTATTTCTTCTAACGTAAATTATTTAAAGGGGTCAAGGAATACAAAACAGAGTGTCCATTCACACCTAAGGAGAAGTCAGTTAACCTAACAATCATGTTTGTGGACTGCTGGAGTACCCAGAGAGAACCCACACATGCTTAGGGAGAACATGTAAACTCCATGCAGAAAGACCCCAGGCCAGGAATCGAACCGAGAACCTTCTTGCTGCAAGGCAGCAGTGCTACCCACTGTGCCACTGAGCAGCCAAAAAAATGGACGTAGAATGAAGTTCAAACCCCATCGTACAGAAGAGGATAAGGGCCACTTAAAAAAAGAAAAAAGTTAAGTTTTTTAATTTTATTTCAGTATAGTATGGGAAAAAAGTCACAATTCTGACTTTAATCTCAGAATTCTGACTTTTTTTTCAGAATTCTGACTTTAATCTCAGAATTCTGACAGAATTCTGACAATAAAAAAAAGTCAGAATTCTGAGATTGAAGTCAGAATTCTGACTTTTTTCCCATGTTAAACTGAAATAAAATTAAAAAATCAGTTAACTTTTTTTTTTTTCAGTGGCCCTTATCTTCTTCTGTACCATCAACACATGCTTTCTCTGCAAATCTCACAATTCTAAACTTCCACCATAAAACGGGCGAAATCCAAACCCAGGCTACCGTCACCGGATCGGGTTCGGTTGCTCCGTCCCCCCATGGCTCCCTCCCCCCGTCCGTCAAAGTTCCCAGACCAGCCCCGGAGCTCACGGCTCTTTTCTGCTGCACTGTAGTCGACTAAAATTAAGGAAAATTTTGAAATCCCCCCCCCGGACATTTTTTTGTTAGGTATGAAAAGTAGGACATGTCCTGGAAAAGAGGACATCTGGTCACCCTACCATATCAACAATTTGATGTTTCAGTGAGTGAGTGCTTGTTGCTAGCAGCTTCGCTCGTTGTAAACCAACCAATCAGCGCAAAATATAAATATCCATGATCATACCATAAAAGGAAGAAAACCTGTCGTTTAATTCTAGGGCTTTTAACCAGGCTTGCATTTGGGCTCATAGAACAGCAAATATGCCATTTTCAGCCCAATCATTGTTACACACCGTATCCAGAGGCCTTAAGGACCAAATACCCTATAGAATCATTCTATGAACCCTTTAAACTTACATTTTTCAAATTTCTCTTTCTCAGAATCAGTTTTACGAATTGCATTCTTTCTTAACTTCTTTCATTTCATTCTGTTCACTTCTGGGCTGCAGGCGTTCCTCTGGACTGAGGAGTAAAGACCCATTTCTATTGGTCTGCATTAGGGGTGAAACGGTTCACAAAATCCACGGTTTGGTTCGGTTCACCGTTTCGTGGTCATGGTTTTCGGTTCGGTATATGTTTATGGTTAGCCTGACATGTTGGTCGTGTTGCTGTTATTTATTTTTTTCTGCTACACCCGGCTAAGCTGCTTCGCTTCTTCTTCTTCTTGTTTACTACTGGTGGTTGGCTTTGGTCGCAGTACCGCCACCTTCTGCTCTGGAGTGTAATCGCTTCGCCTATGAGAAAAAGGAGCAGCGCATGAACCGAACGCAACACGCACGAACCGAACCGAGACAGTCGAACCGAACCGTTCGGACGGTTTTCATAAACCATTCCATCCCTAGTCTGCATGGATGTTAGGACCAGCATTCTTATTGGTCAACAGCGAGCGTTTCTATTGGACTTGAAGTGTAAAAAATGTGATGTGTAAAATGCAGAAAATAACAAAGTTAGTCCACGAACAGACATGAATTTGAAGCAAACCAGACTTTTGCTCTTTTTTTTTTTTTTTGGGAATTCCAAAAAAGTTGAAAACAATCAGCCGGACTTGGTTTCCAATTTTGAAGGGAGCTTTTACAATTCAAAATGTCCTTTTTGGGAAAGTTTGAATGGAAATTTGGACACCTATCCAGGAATCTTTGTAAATTCTGTTGGCTCGTACAAGGCATTTCTGTTTTTTTTGCATGGATGGATGGATGGATGGATGGATGGATGGATGGATGGAATCACAGTTGCAGAACTTCCCCTTGCCGCTCTTAATGGTCGTGTTTTCCACTAAGATATCAGCATTTTTCATTCTGCGTTTAAAAGTAATAACCAAACTCCAGCTAACACCCCATGTGGCTGAGAGTTCACTGTTATGCTGATGATTATGTGTTTAGAGGGGAGAGATTCTGCTCAAAATAAGGCTTAATTGCTCTTTTGGTAACTGATAAATTGTCGAGGAGATGCTGGGAGGAGTTTCTCAGATATGGCAAGAAAAAGATTATTCTGCTCTACATCAGAATCAGTTCATGTTTTAAAACCGCTTCATTATCATTTTTTCTCCAGGGAAAAAAATGATAGATAACAACTGTCATGCTCCGAAGTGCGAGCCGTGTGGTAAGGATGAATACCTGGACACATACTCCACTAAAGCGAAATGTGAACGGCAGCCATATTGTGACCCAAGTAAGAGCTTTGCTTAGTTAGTTAATTGTTTCCTTTTGCTGATTGTCTTTTACGAGTGTTACTTTGTTTTCCTTTCAGACAAAAACTTTGTGGTTCCGGTCCATCAAATAGACAAGAAAACAGACTGCACGTGCAAACCAGGGTTCCACTGTTCGGGCAAAGCTTGCCTTTCCTGTCTGCCTCACAAAACATGTGGGCCGGGAGAGGGAGTTCTGCATAAAGGTGCGTCCACAGATGTCTGTTTTCTACATCGATTTGCTTTCTTTCGTTTTCTTTTTACTTTTATGTTCTCTTTAGACCATTAAAAAATAATTTTCTTTTCTTTCAGGGAGCCCAACACATGACACTGAGTGCCAAAGCTGCCCTGAGGGAACATTCTCCAATGAGACCTCCATGAATGACGGCTGTGTTAAACACACAGAGTAAGTCCTGAAGTTTCACAAAGGATTTAAACTTATTGAGTTTTAGTTGTAGTCTTTAGTTTTACCAAAGTTTCCAGTCATTCTTTAAGTTATTTAGAAATTACTCTGAACAAATGTTTTTTAATATGAATTAGCTCCTCATTTACTCCATAAAAAAATGTCATAGCTGGTGAGTTTAGCTGGTTTTCATTACAGAAACTTTTCCCACTTTGTCATATTACAGCCACTCAAAGCTGCTGAGCTCTTTTTAAAGAACAACATTGAAGTGTGGTAACCCAGCTTGCATGTAGCTACCCAAAGTTTCAAAGCGAAACTCCAGACCTATTAAAGGAAAAGTCCGGTCAGCAAGGAATAATCAATGGATCTTAATCTATACCTAAAACGAATACATTTGCGGTGATTTAATGCATTCATCATTAATCTGTAAAGAAAAAATAATAATAACTTTTGTTGCGATCACTTGAGTCTGGGAGCGGCCATCTTTGCCCAAATACATCTTCCGCTAACATTGCTAATGGTAGTAGCCTAACAATATTGTTGTGAGGTCAGCTATGAATTATTAAGTTGGGTGAGTTCATAGATGCATCTTGTCATTAACCTGACTCCGGCAGATGGATTTGCTCCGCATATCCATCTGGAAACCTTCCTTTGAAGAAATTTTGGGAAGGGGCGCAAATACTGGTTAGCTGATTGGCCTATGTTGGTGATAGACGGCCCAAATAAAACAATCAGATCAACGAAGCATATGATGTACTAACAGAGCGACGACGAAAACACAACCACAAGCCAGGCTACTCTTGCCAAAACCAGTCGGGAGAAGAGCAAAAACATCTTTTCCTCTGAGAAAAGCCTCCAGAGCAGTGTTTTGCTCTTCTTTCAGTGAAGAAATACTCTTTAATTCCGATAAAACTTGCTCGATAGCCACGCCAACGCTAGTTTCATCGCTGAAGCCGCCATGTTCTTTAGACTGAACTGTCGCGCTTCTCGTTGCGTCACACCTCAACCCGCCTCAAAGCCAACGCTGATTGGACGTTCGTTTGGTGAACTGCTCTTAATTTTCTTTAACGGAAAGTCTCCAGATGTCATGAAGCGGTGTTTATATGGAGGATCCAAATGCAGAGACCAGAAGGCAGAGGTGAATTAAAGTCTGTTTATTCAGGTTAACAGATCCAGGGGCAGGAATCAGAGTCCAACTGAAAATTACAAACGTACCAGGACCAAGGAGACATCAGGGATTAACATAAACCAGAAGCCAGGGAGAGACGAGACAAGGCAGGCAGATGATAGACGAGATATTGGACGAGGATCCAGCAAACAGGAACTGAAGAGGGAGGGCTTTTAAAGGGGACAGAGACAAAGAGAGAGCTGACGAGGAAATTGGCAACAGGTGCTGGCAGGACAGAGAAACAGAGCAAGGGAGGACACAAGAGGGCAGCAGAGGACAACAAATGGATAACCAAGAAAAACAGGAACAAACAGACCAAGACTCTGACACCAGACTGATTAGCGAGTGAAACCTTGAAAGCTGGCGAGATCAGGATGGTCTCACGAGGCTATCTTGTCATTGCTAGCTGAAATGATTGTTGTTCTAAGTGGGTCACTCTGTCAGCTAAAGGCATGTTTTACAGTCTTTATAGTCCAGTTAACAATTCATTTATTGCAAAATAACTTGAGGATTATTTCAATAATTATTAATCATGATTAATCCAATTAATTGTTTCAACCCTAAAATATACAGTATAACTGGAATGGGTGTGACTGAATTTCGGTGACTGAGTGACACAGCACGCTTTAGGCAGGGATGTCACTGGGACCGTATATTTAGGGGGGCTTTGCCCCAGGTAAAAAAAAAAATGTTTAAAGTCCCTGAGCAGATCGCTTTTACAAAATGTTTCTCAGTGCAATTAACTTTGGTTATAAAACAGGGCTGTGCTCTCTTAGGGCTTTTCGTGTTTATTTTGAATTTATTCACATATATATAACTAGATAATTTTTAATTATGTTGAGAAAGCATGTTGAGATTTAAAAAAAAAAAAAAATCTGTGGATAAAGATATTTGTTTACCTTAATGTCATCTTTTTATCCCCATGGTTCGACTATCGAACATTTTCTGGGTATTGATATTGAGTTTAACCGCAAATTAGGGCTGGGTGATCAATTGATAATATTGATTAATCACCTTTTCTTTTTATAAAGATGAAATTTTTGAAATATCTGGATTTCTTTCCACCAATGGACCTCTTGAGCTTCCATAGCTCAGAGTGACTTTTTCTTCTTAGATGAATTTTTGTAACTGATAAACTACCTCTCTGTGTGATACCACAAGCTGCACATTTTTAGTTTGTTATATTTTTTATTGTTTGGTTTGAAACATAGTTTATACGGAGCCCCTAAAGGGACATGGAGGGGAAAAAAAGAACTTTTTCGAGATCCCGCAATAGTTTTGGGAAATGCCGCAATAGTTTTGTGAGATCTCGCGAAAGTATTGCGGGATCTCGCAAAACTTTATTTTTTCCCTCCATGTCCCTTTAGGGGCTCCTCAGGATTGCGTACTGACCATACTGACCTTGTCTCTCTTCATTCATATAATGTCGTGCCTCCCATAGCAGTACACTTTGCACCTCTGCTGTTGTGTGTTTGTTTTACTTTCAGTTCGCGGACATGGCAAAACGTTTTGCGAAATCTCACGAAAATATTGCGGGATCTTGCAAAAGCTTATTTTTTGCCAGATCTCGCAAAAGTATTGTGGAATCTCGTAAAGTTTGTTTTTTCCTCCATGTCCCTTTAGGAGCTCCGTAGTTTTACAAAAAACACGTATTCGGATTTGGTACGAAAAACTGGAGATTCAATTTTACATTATATCACATCCCAAAAACAAACACTGAATGTTGATGGAATATGATGAATTTCATTGGTTGTGAAAATGTTTTTTATTCATGTGATTTTTAATGACTCACTACAGAAATCAGGAACTTTTAACTCAGTGAAACTCTTTACAGATGTCCGCAGGGATACATCGCTACGGTACCTGGGACGGCCCAAACCGACACCGTATGCGGTGAGTCACCGCTACCTTTCCTTCATCTGCTGCTTCTGCGGTTAGAAATTATCTGTGTTGTTCAGAATGAAACTGTCTCCGTGACCGCCCCGTAGACCTGTTTGCTGTGTGGTTTCAAGTGTGAAAGCAGCAGCAATGTTTGTGTTACTCATGCACAAGACAGGCGACAATAAAAATACATATCTTTTTATGAAATGGAAAACCCTAATTTTGTTTATTTTTTACTTATTTTTTAATATCTTTCTTATGCTTTGTTAGTAAAATTACAGCAAATGATAAAATGTAAATGACCGAGATGACTGTGGGATGACTTTGTGTGTCGGGATGTAATCGTTTCTCTGTCTGCTTTGCTCACAGAGATCCAGCGTAGCCATGTCATACTCCCCATTGTCTTGACCGTCGTCATCATAGCTTTAATACTTGCAGGGGTTCTGTTCTATTTAAAAAGTAAGTTCCACTCTGAATAGTTACACAGATTATGTGTAATTCGCCACTTAACGTGTTTTTCTTTTTGTTGTAACAGGTAGGAAATGCTTAAAGAACAGGAAAAAAATGGTAAATGTAAGTTTTGTTTTCTTTTGCTCGCTATAATGATAAGTATTAGCACAAGCTTTAATTTCCGATAAAGAAAAAAACTAAAACAGATTTGCTTAAATTAAAAGAAACCCATTGAGTAAATTTGGTTCCAATATATTTTTTTAAAGCAAAGAATACATTTTGGTAGTAGACATTTAGAAAATACTTATGTTGTAAATTGAGATGATTAAAAAAAGCAATCCAGAAATAAAACTTTGAAAATACTTTTGATGGAAAAAAATGTTTTTAGAGCAGCTCTGCTGTTTTCTACGGAAGAGGGTTAGGGCCACTGAAAAAAAAAAGTTAACTGATTTTTTTTTTTTTTTTTTCAGTATAGTATGGGGGAAAAGGTCAGAATTCTTACTTTAATCTCAGAATTCTGACTTTTTTCTCAGAATTCTGACTTTAATCTCAGAATTCTGACTTTTTTCTCAGAATTCTGACTTTAATCTCAGAATTCTGACTTTTTTTATTATCAGAATTCAGTCAGAATTCTGACAATAAAAAAAGTCAATAAATTAAAGTCAGAACTCTCAGAAAAAAGTTTCTTTAGATGATGCTACGGTGGCCCTGAAGTGCAAACTGCAACTACAAATCTAAAAGCGCAACTACATTAAGAAAAACAAAACTACATAAAGCAAAGCGCAACTACATTAAGAAAAACTCAATTACATTAACCTACCGGAAAAGGTAGGTACCAGTGGGAAACATGAGACATCGCTGATTGGACGACGGCGCCGTTTGACCCTTGAACCGAAAGTTGCGTCGTCTGAACAGTCCAGCTTCTTTTAAGTGTGTCTTCAGTGTACGCAAACTAACTGAAATTTTGTGATTAGTCTTGAGCATATCCGGTATCACCTCGTACGTATGTCCTGATTCAAAATATTCCTGGATAACGGCAGCTATGTTTGGGGCGCCGACAATATCCATGTTTTCAAAAGCCGCGGCAGGCGGAATGACTTCCGGTTCAAGGGTCAAACGGCGCCGTCGTCCAATCAGCGATGTCTCATGTTTCCCACTGGTACCTACCTTTTCCGGTAGGTTAATGTAATTGTGTTTTTCTTAATGTAGTTGCGTTTTGCTTTATGTAGTTTTGTTTTTCTTAATGTAGTTGCGCTTTTAGATTTGTAGTTGCAGTTTGCACTTCAGTGCCACCGTACAAACACCTTAAATATTCAACCAAGAAATGTGGTAAAATAGAAAAAAATCTTCAGAGCTATTTTTTTTAGCCTGCGTCTTGGATCTATGTATTGCTTTAATAGCAGATTATAGTTTTTGATTTTCTTCACACAGGTGTGTGTGGAATGTATCGGACCAAAAGTTGAACCAAAGGAAGATCCCACAAAGCTTATGTTGGAGAAGACTCCAGTTGAAACCGAAGACGCAAGCATCCCTTCCGGGATTTCTGAGGAGCATGGAAGAAGTGAGAACGGGAAAATCGTGTGTCCCGTTGTGGAGGAGGGGAAAGCTGAATGTCTGTCCCGTCAGGAATCGCAGCTATCAGCCTCTTCTACCGTCAGCTACAATTAATTACAGAACTAATAACCCCTTTATTGTGTCATAAGTACAGACTTACTTAAAGCTGAAGTTGTATTTATTTGACCCTAATGTGCTCCCATAATATGCTGAAATGATGTGTATGAATGAGTAATGTTGTTTGAAGTCTGTAACTAATATTTTGTATATAGATTGTTGGAATGAACAGTTTGTGTTTTGAGTTTACTACGGCACTGTGTGACTGCAATGAAAACTGCATTAAAGTTGATTCTTTTTTAGAAGATGTGTTTGCTTCAACTTTTTCCTTTGAACTGCAAAAATTTGAATACAAGCAGGTTATATTTTCTTTAAAGTGTATTTTTCCTTGATTAGAGCACATAAGTAAAATAAGTTACCAAAGGAATAAGATGAGTTATGTTAAAATAAACAACTTAATTACTAATTTCGTTAACTGATAATCTTATTTACCTGCTCAAATTCAAAGGAAAACATCATTATTTTGATAAATGAACCACTTATTTTTAGGTCTGCTTCTGTGGTGTAATAGTCCAAATGTGGCTAACTTTAAATACAAATAAAGTATTTAAATTTAATAGTTTAAATCTAACTGAGCCTAAATTCCTAGACCAAACTATATTGGTGAGTGAAAAGGCAAAGAAAATAAATTAGTTTCTTTTTTTTTTTTACTGTAAGCAGCATTTATAGATAGCATTTGAGGGGCTATATACAGTTTGGGGGATGGGTAACCATACTTTTTATGCATGAAGAAATAAGAACACCTGACTTTACTTCACCTACAGCTGCAATCAATACTTTAGATGGAATATAAACTTAATAGGGTAGTTTATTTCAGATAGCACATATAAGAGGAGATTATGTTTCCTGCACATTTTTGGATCTGGTCAGGGGTCCAGATATGACAACTATTGACTGGTTCTGGGGATGTTGGAACAGATTTTCTTTTTTGTTTTGTTCTTTGTTTTTTTTTCTAATCGAAGCACTGCCTTTTTTTTGGAGAATATTTTAAATGCACTATAGCTGGACACTTTGCATAGAGGGGGTGGTCGAATTCAACACCTTCAGGAACTGTAGTGCTGAGTTTTGGGAATGCAGCAGCAAGTCAGAGTACATTCCTGTGCTCTGAGCAGATGAACAATAAAATATGCTCTTAAAGGGAGGAACATCTTTGACGCTCTGTTTCCTTCTACCTCTATGTGATACTACTGATGACACAGGTACAGATTTATCCTTCAGGGGGTGTGGGGACACATGGGCCCCAAGATTCTTATGGCTCAAAGCTGCTGTGGTAACAGAGAGAAACCTGATGGACTTGTCCGAACATCGAACTTTTTTGCATGTTGGAGAGGATCACTGCTCCAAGATACACTTTCTCTTCCAAACCAGTAGGGGGATGGCTCCTGACCAGTTTCCCACATATAGATCCACTCACATAGACACACACACATACAGTCACGTAACAACACGCTCACACACGGTTAATGACTCAAAGAACACACAAGGGTCCACATGGGAATGAGGTTTTCTTTCATGCACTAAAATTAACAGACACAAGGTCTGATAGGGGAGTTTTAAATAGGGGGAATCTGCGCCAAGCTGGGTTTATATTAAAAGTTAAATAATTTTAATCATTTCAATTGGGGGGAGGATAAAAGTAAACTAAAATGCAGTTATAAGTTTAGACGAAACTAAAACTTAATATGTTATGATTTAGAAATGGTTTTAAATTTTATTTATTTAATCCATGAATAGAATGCTACAATGTGTAAAACAGGGTTAAATGTTTTCTAAATATCTACAGGTTCCTTGAATGAGATTATATTAGTTGCAGTGATTTTTAGCTTATATGAACAAAATAATGAGCCGAAACATCCATAGGATGTTCAGGCTGAATACATACTGGTATAAATAACTTTCAACTGCCAGGCTGTTGAAAAAAGGTAGGTTATGTTTAAAGGGGACATAACTTCCTCATTTTAAACAGTAGTCAGTGTTGACTGCAAGTTGGTTGGTAGAAAATCTGATTAACTTTAAGGATTATTATGAAAGGATGGTTTTATATTTCAACTATTGGAATTATATGTTTTTACATTAAAACTTAAAATTATAGTAATTGGCAGGATGAGAAAAAAATCCCTATGAAAAGTGTTTTTATTGACACATGGTCACCATTGTTACAGGAAGCCACTAAGCCATCAAAGCAGTTTCTGGAGATTTCTATTTGCTGAATCAATAATCAATGAAAGAAAATCATTTGCAATGCACTGACCAGCTGTCGCACTGTGTGGTGTGGAGGCTGCAGCGTCTCAGACTGGAAGAAGGTGAGAACAGCAGAGAAGATCATGGGGGCTCCGCTTCCCTCCATTAAAGACATTTCATCCCGTATCATTATCAGTGAACCCTCACACCCCTATCATGGACTGTTCTTCCTGCTGCCCTCTGGGAAGATAACCTGACTCCGCCAGATGGATTTGCTCCGCATATCCATCTGGAAACCTTCAGTTGAAGTAATTTTGGGAATGTTGGTGATAGACGGGCCAAATAAAGCAATCAGATCAACGAAGCATATGACGTACTAACAGAGCGACGACGAAAACACAACCACAAGCCAGGCATAAGCCAATTGATAGATCAAACTTGCCGAAACCAGTCGGGAGAAGAGCAAAAACATCTTTTCCTCTGAGAAAAGCCTCCAGAGCAGTGTTTTGCTCTTCTTTCAGTGAAGAAATACTCTGTAATTCCGATAAAACTTGCTCGATAGCCACGCTAACGCTAGTTTCATCGGCTGAAGCCGCCATGTTCTTTAGACTGAACGGTCGCGCTTCTCGTTGCGTCACACCTCAACCCGCCTCAAAGCCAACGCTGATTGGACGTTCGTTTGGTGAACGGCTCCAAATTTTCTTTAACGGAGAGTCTCCAGACTGATCTGCGAGTGAAACCTTGAAAGCTCACGAGATCAGGATGGTCTCACTGGGAAGAGGCTTTGCTGCATTCAATTCAGGTTCAGCAGATCCTGAAACAGCTTCTTCCCCACCGCCATCAGACTGCTGAACTGTTGAGAAAACTCTAAATCACAGCCTCTGCATCACACTGATAAAACCAAAGCAAAACACTGCATAGTTCCCCCATATATATTTAATGCTCTGAACTTCCATATTAATGCATTTTTTGCACCATGTTTTTTTCTCCTAGTCTGTTTACATTTGATCATAGCTGCACTTTAAGAAATGGAAATGTTATGAAAGCTGTACAAAATGAAATATGGTTTTCAGAGATGGCAAAAGTACTCACTTTCCGTACTTGAGTAAAAGTACAGATACTTGTGTTAAAAAATACTCTGGTAAAAGTGGAAGTACTGATTAAACTTCTTTACTCAAGTAAAAGTAACAAAGTACAGGCTTGTAAATTTACTTAAAGTATAAAAGTAAAAGTAGAAACCACTTTTTTCATGCCGTTGCCTACATTTTAAATGGATGTCTGCCAATAGGACTAGATCTCCGTTGTGTTCATTTTCAATCATCTCGTCGTCCATGCTACTATGCTAACGCCACCGCCACCAAGCTGCAATGATTTGCCGCGAATGAATACCGCCGAATCTGTCGATTCATTTTGTAGTGGTGAGTCAAATGCAACGTAGATTCCCATCCAATTAGATTGAATTTGGTATTGATGACGTGAAAAATAATAACGGTAACTCCATTGAAATGATTCAAAACTAAAGTAACGAGCCAATTTTTTAAAATGTAAGGAGTAGAAAGTACAGATATTTGTGTAAAAATGTAAGGAGTAGAAGTTAAAAGTCGCCATAAAAATAAGTAGTAAAGTAAAGTAAAAATATCAGAAAACTTCGTTACTTCCCATCTCTGATCATTTTGTATACACTCTGTATACAGAGAATGACAGGGAAAGTTGCCTATTTCTAAGATTAAAGCCCAGCACTAGAACAGAGCATCAAACACATATCTATTTACAATAATGTGGGGAAACAATAGAGAAGATCTGAGAACCCGAGGTTCAGTCAGACAAGGAAAAAGGTTTATTAAACTGTTCATGAAAAGGCAGCTGAAGGCAGCATGGAGGCTTGCTCTGAGCTGACTGGATGATAGCTGATAGCAGTTAGACAAAAAAAAAAATCATTAGCGGGGATTCATGGAAAAAAAAGAAGTCACATAACTATGGAGATTTTTTCTGACTTGGAGTAATTTTAATGTTTTAAGAGGCAAAGAATTAATCCTGAGTTGAATCTGAAGCTTATGATGGCGGTGAACCCAGTGGGCGACCATGTCTTTATATCCAGTGGAAACAAAGAAGCAGGTAATTCCAATTGAACGTAACTCTGACTATTATTTCTGCAAAATTACTGTTCTCTAAATAACTGTTGCATGACAAAAACCAACCACTTATCTCATTTGAGGATATTTCTTTTCCCCACTCAATAAATGCATGTGATGATAATAATAATTGTTGCTTTGTAGAAATTTGTTGGAAGTGGTGCTACTTTTACTTGAGTACATTTTACTTGGGTACTCTGCCCACATCTAGAGTGTAATGAAAAGAAAATGTGCTGAAGTAAAAGTAGCACCACTTCCAACATATTTCTACTGGAGTAATAAACGTACTTGATAAAAAAAAAAAGTAGTGAGTAACTGTTTTACTTTTAAAATGACATAAAACAGACAAACCATTATATGAAGTTATGCATCCTTTTTTTTATTAAAAGAAATCAATGAAAACAAATAAAACAATATTGAAAAAAAGACTTCAGACAGAAGAAACACCTCTCAAAACCTATATATATCTATATATATAGATATATATATAGATACATATATAGATATACATATATATAGCCTGTATAAATATACATATATACAACCTATATATTCATAAAACATATGAAACCATTTCTTAAAGTATGTAAGGTATGCATGACAGAACAATGACAATATATACTGCTGTTTTATTTTTATCTTATATTATCTTGACCTCAATGTCATGGATGTCTTAGCAGATTAGAACATTAAAACAACATAATGTGCACAAAAGAGAAAACTACATTTAGTGAACTTTAAGCTGTCTGATGGTGGATTTTAGGTTTAAATGTGCTTTCTTTAGTAAAGTTAAACTGAGTAAAACAGCCACACATTTTACTCAAGTTAAGAATGTGGACTTTCTTTTATCCCTTTAGTAAAAGTAAAAGTATGGTGCAATGAAACTATTCGTAAAAGTAAATTTTTTATCAAAGAGTTACTCTATAACA